TATCTGGTTCAAACACGACATTGTTACCGGGGTGAAGTTATAGCATTGCCAAAATGCCATTTGGTGATTATTTTTCATTTTTAGACATTTTTTTTCTTTTTCTGGTTTGCCTTTGACAATTTTAAGAAATCTTCAGATACCAGCCTTGTGTGATGTATGATTTTTGAGGAATGAAAAGTTAGGTTTTGACAACAATCGCACAAATTGTTAGCAAAAAGAAGTTTAGAAGAAAAAAAGGGTAATACAAGTTGGACAAATTCTATAATAATAAAGAAAAGTACTAGAAAAAGATGTAATTGAAGTAGAATATAGAAATCTAAGAATTGGAAGAGTTTACTTTTTAAATTCAAAATATTTATGGATCCACACCAAGGAATTGAAGCATATCAGATGAAAAACTACATTGGGAGCAATATGAAATCTGATTGGGCCTTTTTTTATTGGGGCCCTAGGCAATTGTCTAGTGCTTGAGCCTCCTCTGCTTGCTACTAGGAGAGACAATGAATGATTGATTGTTATGCTAGTTTTATTAGTTTTCTCTTTTTTTACTGGGCCCCTCTGTTCAGGTGGGGCCCTAGGCATTTGCCTAGTGCTTGAGCTTCCTCTGCGTGCTATTTGGAAAGAGAATGAATGAATGATTGTTATGCTTGTTTTATTAGTTTTCTTGATTAAGATTTATTCATTTATTTAAATTTTTATATGAATATCTGTCTGAGAAAATGAACTCAAATAATATAGTACATGTATTTAAAAATGTGCAATACTGCTAATTCTACTCCATTATAATCTTTATTTCCACAAATGTGTTCTTTTGCTAAATTGAAGTATCCATAGCATGTTTGACTTGTTTCCTCGGCGTGTATGTTATAAGTTTCTTTTGAAAAAAACTGTAGACGTTTTCTAGATGTGTATGCCATGTATCTAGGAGTGTGGAAATGTTGTCTCCGGCATGATGCTAGAGAGACATGGCCTAGCCTCTTACAAATAACCGTCTGTCCGTCATGTTATGCTACATTAAGTAATTAAGCCTGTGTGTCGGATGCCTATCTGGGTATTTTGTACTTGAGAGTCTTCAAACTGTGACCACAAGAGAAAATGGCACTTTCCAAAATTTGAATGTGAACTGGTCCGATTTCTGTACTCCTTATTGGGTAAAATTTTTCATCTGATTTGTTGGTTAATTAGATGATTAAGAATGTAATTTATTGTTGCTTTGCATATTAAGAGATGAATGTGCCTGGCTAACGTGGCCGTGGATTCTATACACATCCGCGTGTAGAATTTTAAAATTTAATTATCTAGATATTATTTTGGTTCTCCCTAGAAAGGGTGCTTTTCTTTCATTTTTGTTGTTGTTCTTCCATGAACTGGTTGAGAAGCGTCTATGTTTATGCTATGGCATTTATCTACTTGTATTGCTTTTGCAGCGCGCACATATACTGCACCAGAAAAGTGGATGAGGGGCGAGGGGCAAGGGGCGTGTAACCATCCAATTTGGTTGCTGGGGTTGTATGACGCCTTGTGAATTGCCGGTACTACATGGTCCTGACCATCTAATAATTTTTTCGCTAAACAAGCTCCGTGTTAACTACACAATCCCTGAACATGAAGGAGAGAGAAGGGTTCTCCCACTGGTGATGATGATGATCCGCAGGAGAATCCTTAATACTGTTTGATAAAATTTAAAATTAAGTACAGAATTTCAAGTATGTAACATTTAAGTGAAATTGACAATTTTACTCAATTTTAAGTGAAGCTTATTATTATTATTTTTTTAAAGTGATATTTAAATTGTATTATCAAATATATATATATTTTACGTGGAGATCTAACAATTAGGTTGTTGAGAAAATAACCATATAGAACTTTACTCATTGTGCTATGGTGTGCAGATAAATTGGCCAACAAAGGAGATAAATCCCAGCTTTGTTCCTTGCCTTTCTTCTACTAACCTTTGATAATCTCAACATTCTTGCCATTCCTAGGTCGGAAAGGAGATTTTTTCCCTTTTTGAACTCCCTTTTCGAACCCGTGAACTTCCGGTAAAAATGGAATAGCCAACATTCGTGCCTCATATATAGTAAAAGTATTGTTATTAAATAAATTTACTCACCTATTTCTTTTCTTTTCCGATTAATTAAACTAAAAAAAGGAATTGACATCACCCCTTGGGAAAAAATTTAGGTCATCCTTCGTATTCCATTATATATATATATATATTTAAATTTTCCATCCCTTTTTTATCTTCCCAAGAGAGTGGTCATCAATTTAAGCTGATGAGAAATGAGAGAAATTATTAGATGGTCCTGAACTGTTAACACTTGGTGAACTAGTTAAATACCGACTCTCAGATTGAGAAAATGACCCCACAAGAGTATATTAATAAATTACAAAGTTTCATGATCGAAGGGTTTTAATTGAATTAGTTTACTAAGTTTCAAATAAATTGGGACCATCTAATAATTTCTCAAAAAAATAGCTGGCGTTTGTGGCATTAACCCATACCATCAATTTTGCCCTCTAGTAGATATATGAGGTTAATTACATAGAGGTATAATTATGTTAATATATATATGTGTGTAATGTATATTCGTTACTCTGGATCAAAATGTCCAATGCTTGCAAATAAGGCCCTATAAGTTGCCTTTAATATTAATTGCATAAAAGTTTCTTTAAATTATAAAAATTTGTATGTACCCCTTAAATAAGTGGGCAATATACAAATACTTATATTTAAGAGGGTCTTTGACAATTAATTTTAAATAAATTTTGTTACTATCAGTGCCTTGATTATTAATTTTTAATTTCTTCTTGATGGAAGAGTCTCTTGCAAAAATTAGTATTTTTTATGGTGGTTATTTGCCAAAAATAAAACTAGGAGGGTAATATACAATTTTTTCATAGTTACGAGGACATATTCCATTAGACTATATTAAATTAATAGATTGATATTAATTTGAAGTATCTGAAAAAAAAAATAAGGTGTTATTATTATTTATTCATTTTGAATATTATAAAATACATGGAATTGAATTATACTTATAGAAAAGCTTGCCTTGGTCGCATTAGTAGGTCTTTCCTTTTGATGTTGATACAACAATAACATGACATGTGTCCAAAAAATTAAATTTTAAAAGAAAAGATGAAAAATAAAAAATAAAACAAATTCTCCGTGTTTGAGATTTTTTTTTTTTTAAACCCACAAATGAATTTTCTTTCAGGGAAATTTATACACCAAAACATTAGATCACCCAACTGTTAAAATAGAAAGAAAAACTTTCGTATTGCAATCTGTTACATAAGAAACTAAACTAGTCCAAATAAAAAAAAAAATTGGTAAATGAATCCTAATTGATTTTATAAAAATTTTAAAGAAGTCAATTCTCCTTTAGATGAATAGTTGATGTCATTTTAAAGGTGGAATTGCAACAAATATGACTTGCAATGAATGTTACCTCTTAAATAATCTCTAAACTCTAAAGATTGCAATTAAAGTAGGGTAAAGTGCAAATAACCCCCCTGTACTATTGACAAATTGCAACTAACCCCCCTAGACTAAAAAAAACCCCCTAAACTATGAATTTGTTGCATTTCAGTCCATTCCGGTGACCGACTTAACCGGAAAAATAAAAAGTCTGAATTGCCCTTATGATTATATATATATATATAAAGAAATAAAATAATAAATAAACATATATATATATATATATATATATATATATATATATATATATTTCTGGTTTTAAACTGAATTTATATATATGTGTTTATATATATATATAACATTGGAGATTGAAGAGAGAGAGAAGCATCAGGCTGGAGATTGAATCATGAAGAAAATGAAGGAAAAAGATGGTGGCGGCGGCGGCGATTATGGTGACGGAAGAGGAGGTAAGTCGGCGATTATGGTGACGATGCGGAGTCGACGCGTCAAAACCCAAATCATCCTCGTCGCTGCTGGGATCTCGCTGCCGTCATCTCCTGCGCCTGCCCCGCCACCGTCTCTTGCGGTGACAGCTGGAACGAGCTCGGATGGTGGAGAGGACCGGCGAGCAAGGTGGGCTGAACGGCAATGGGCTGGTTCGGCCATGGTTAACTCGCGGCGATGGGCTGGTTGCGGCTTAGCTGCACAGCGGCCGAGCTTCGCCTCATCCACCAACCTCCCTGTTCCGATCGGGACGGTCACCCACTTCTCGTTTTCATCGACCCCAAATTACTCCGCAATCATTCTCCACAAGTGCTTCCACTTGAACAGATCGCCGTTGCTGCAATTGAAAGCTTCGTTGCTCGCATACGGATCCATCGCCGCCCATACTAGTGCTCCGCTATCAGACCGAAATTCGACGCCACCGAGTAGCAGTTCCATACCGCCTTCGTTCCCGAGGGAGAACCAGAGATTGTGATTGAAGGGGGTGATGGCAGTGGGTTAGTGGGGGTTTGGTTTCACGGTGTGTGATGGGTTTGATGGAGAGAAGGTTAGGCTGTGGTTGGTGATGACGGGTGATGGTGGTGGCGGGATTGGGGTGGTGGCTGTGGGTTTGTGTACTGGTTCGATTGGGTTTGGTGGTGTGCCGTTGAGATGCCGATGGAGGTGGTAGTGATGGTGGTGGGTTTGATTTCGTTTAACGGTGTGTTTTGGCATGAGTTCAGGAGGGTTTCGTGGTGGTTATGTTGGTGGTTGCGGACGGTGGTGGTGGTTATGTTGGTGGTTGCAGAAGGTGGTGGTGGTCGTAGACGACGGTGGTGGTGGTTATAGGATAATTTGGTATTTTCATATATAGAAGGGCATTATTGTCCAAAAAACTTAATTTGTCTGTCGCGTGTGAATCACGCGCTCATTTTTGGACGGCCGGTCACCGGATGGGGTGATCTGCAACTTTTTTGTATAGTTTGAGGGGTTTTTCGCATTTTTGATAGTTCAGGGAGTTAGTTGCAAATTTCTCCATAGTTCAGGGGGTTATTTGCACTTTACCCATTAAAGTATTAGGATATATTTGACGGTTTGAGAACGGAGGAGATCAACAAGTAGTGGGGGTCGACTTGAGAAAAAAATGATGAATATTAAGGTTTCAAAATTGGAGAGATGGTAGGCATCAATGATAATCTGGTGCGAAGAGAGAAAGAGCTCTACCGAGTCTCACACGCGTGGGAGAAAATCTCAAACGCGGAGAAAAAAATTCTTTGTTTTTAATGGCCCGTGAAAAGATCAGCATCAGAAGGAGAGGCATGAAGCGGCGACTAGTTTTTTTCTCTTTTTGAAGGTGACTTAATAGATATTCATAGGCGGTTGCTCTCTCTCTCTCTCTCTCACACACACACACACACACCACACCCAGAGAATCCTAAGAAAGAGTTTGTGCCCGCCTTTCTCTTTAATCTACCGGACCACCACCGATTCTCTGACTTCTTGGTTGGAGAAAACGCCATGAACGGCCAGCGAACTCGAACGGACGACCCGTTCCTCCTGAGCTACAACGCCACCGATCTGCGAATCGCGTCGGAATTTCTCTCCAATTGGCTTCCTTTCCTCTCCAGAGTTCTCTGTGGCCGCTGCACTCGAACCCTCGCAGATCGCATTCGATCCCTTGATCCAGGTACTAAAATCCCTCTTTTCACACCCACACACACTGCTCGTTAATTGATATTAATGTCCATGACAAATATATATATAGCCGAAACCCTAACAATAGGGGACGAATTACGAAGAAAACAGAACCAGAACGAACCATAAAACCCCTAATACGAACCAAACCCTAATATTCATAGGCAAATCATAAATTAAACATAATAAAACCTAATATGATTTGTTTAATTTATGATTTGCCTAAGGGGTTTTCTATGTTTCGTTTTGGTTCTGTTATTTCGTAATTCGTCCCGTATTGTTAGGGTTTCGGCTGGTATTCAATTTTTAGAAATTAACGGTTTTGTTGAGTGCTTATGTAATCCGATTGGAAAATTTGGTTGCGTGTTTGTTGGGATAATTGTAGAAGTTGCCGAGGATGTGGAAATCTTGAACAAAGAAGAGAAAATTGGGATTTTGAGTTCAAATGATGTGGATTTGAATGAGATTCGTAACAATCAGGACAATTGGGACTCGAATTCCCTGGGGAGTTGGAAGGATGGGGCAGACATGAATGATACGGCAGATACAAGTTCGCTGGGAAGTTGGAAAGATGGGGTGAATGGGTGGTTGGACCCTGTTGGTGAGTCCACCTCGACCAGCAGAATGACAGGCTCCCCATCACATGTTGAAAGCCCGAGAGCAAAAATGTCATGGGCTGATATGGCGCAGGAAGATGAGCTTGAGGCAGAGGAAGAGAATGAATCAAATGGGCATGCGCTTTCAGGAGAGGTGATAATGGCAGCTAAGGACAGGCTGAAGCCGGAATTGTCAAGAGATGAAAGAGAGTATATCCGGTTTAATAAAGTACAGAGGAAGAAGGATTTTATCTCTTTGGAGAGAGTTGAAAGAAAAATTGTTAACATTCTTGATGGACTGGAACTCCACACGGGGGTTTTCAGTGCTGTGGAGCAGAAGAGGATAGTTGACTTTGTGTATTCCCTTGAGGAGAAGGGAAAGAATGGGGAATTGAAAGGTTAGTCTATTCAGTCCACCACTAGTCCATAAAACTTTGTGCAGTGCTTGTCATAATGCTTTAATTTTTTTCTCTTACTTTCCTCTTTACTGTATTTAATTGTTTGTTGTCATTAGGATCATGGTTCTTTGGATTAAAGATTAGACAAGGTTTTTTTCACATCAAATGATGTTGTGGAAAAGCTAATTTCAAGGATGATTGGAACTTGTTGTATGAGTCATTGCGAAACCTATTTACATAGAGGCTGGACATGAGAACATCCTGATTGCAATTTCTGTATAACTGCCATAAAAATTAGACTGGTAGGAAAAATCACGAAAGAATCTTGTAGAGGTTCTTCATTCTTAAATAACAACATCAGCAATTTGTTGACTCATTGTTCATGATGGTTTATGAGACTTAACTTGCACCGACATGATTTTTTTGTTAAATTAACTCTATTTTTCATTTTCCCACTGCTCTAGGTTATTAGTCCTTGTATTAGCTCTATTTTTCTATCTTTATAATGCTCCCTAGGTCATCAGTTACCTTCTAATATGCTGTATGCTGTATGTCAAGGGAATTCAAGCAAAAGTCAGGGTTTCTTGTGGGTGTCAAGTAATTGTATTATTTGTATATCCTGTAGAGCTAGTTCTATCTCGTTGTATTGCGCTTCATGGCGTCTATGACTTCAACCTTTTGCTTAACTAGAGATCCTTAACTATTTGATCATTCCATCCCAAAATCTATATGCATTAAATAATTGGATCCTTTGTTCTATTTTGAATTCTAGTTCTTTCTTTATTTATTTTTAAATGCATTCCAGTGTTAATTTTGATAGATATGGGTAGCTTCCCTGCTCTCATATAAGCTTGCAGTTTCTTACTAGGGTCATAAGTTGAAAAATAAATGAAATTATGAATTTATTATTTGTCTGACATCTACAAAAAGTTTCTTTTTCTTCTTTTTGGCATTGGACGAATTTTAGTCCTAGTTGACTCTATTAGTATAGCTGTTTGATCTTCGGGAACTGCTTCGAGATTTTAAACTGGGTTTTCTGGTATTATACCTTAGAGCAATGTCCTTCAAAAAATAACAATAATAGAAAACATCACATATAATATCGAATATGGTATTTAACATTGGCTGTAACATTACATGAAGGCATTTGGCGATACTATCACTTACAATAACATTGTCCTACTAAAATTCACAGCTTTAAAAGTTGTAACGGGCTGTTACATGCAGTAAAAAGCCATTGCATACCATCACATTTTGTTGTGGCACCGTAAGTAGTTTCAGTGGGTAAGGTTTTTCCATTTCTTCTACGTTTTCCTAAATCATTTTTATTGTTATTTTTAAACAACATCAGCCTCTAAACCCACAGGAAACATATCCTAATACTAGATAATAATAGTTACTAAATACTATAAAGAGTTTAATATATGAAATTATGATCTTATAAAGTTAATATTTAATAAAGTGCCAGGCTGCTTGTACTTGTTATTTGATACATAGATTACTTATTGGTAAACAATAGTTATTAACTTAATAAGAACTAAATACAGTATATGAACTTATCAATAAAATAAAATAAAATAGATATAGGATATACCAAATTATTAATTATTATTCACTAACTAGTAATTTCTTAATTATCAATACATATAATTATATATCAATCACGTTGTCAGTCACCTGTATTCAATTTATCATTGTATTTGCTTAATTATTTGAAATATGCACTTCCCACACTTTAGATTATGTTATCAAATTGTTTAAACATTTTTAATTGAATAACTACTATATTTATCGTTCATGTGCATTTGTGGTCATAAAAGTTATGAAGGTATAGATAACTAGTGGCAGAGCCATGCATTTAAGTTAGTGGGGGCTGTGTTGAACAACGTCATTGTTATTATTGAATTTTTTGTTTTTTTTTTCACTAAAATAGAAATATGAAAACTTAAATATCAATTGATAATAATTCTTTTCTATACATTTATGAGTGTCATTGACGAGATTTTATATTTTGAATGTTACATGATAATTTATTTGATATATGGAATAATCTAACTAAATTGCAAGACTTCTATAGTTTTAATTATTTGAAAAGTCAATTCACAAAAACTCTCTCTTTTTTTTTTTTTTAAACCTAAAATGAAAATTGCATTCACAAAGAGTGAGACTGAAAGAGGACTTGTATGAATCTCTCTTCCCGTTCTGTCTTGAAGAAAGAATGACAGGGTAAAGGAGAGATATCAATGACTAACGTGGAGGAGAGGAACTATGTGTTTTGTAAAAAAATTGCAAAGAGGCTTTACGAGAGAAAGACGATAAGCAATAAAAAGGAAGTGTTCAAGGTCACGACTAAAGGCCATTTTTGTTTGTTTGTTTGAATTGGGTGTACTTTTACATTTTTGAAAAATTATATATTAAAACTAAAATATAACATTTCCTAATATGCACATAGAAACTTGAGGTTATTTTTGAGGCCACTGAGTCAAGAGTAGGTTCTACACAATTTACTCTTAACAGGCACCATTTGTTCTTCTTTAATGATGACCCGAGGATTCAAAATTTGTTTGTATTTCTACAATGATTACACACTTATTTTCCCCATTGGAAATTCCATTTCTCATTTAGGCATGTGTTGGTCATGCATCTAGGAATACCCAAAAATATTGAATACATATATATATATATATATATATATTTAAAATATTTCAAATTACAATATGTTTATGTGGTATTAGGTCCTATCTGAGGTCCTTGATAGGTTTCGGTATTTTTACCAACTCGATATAGACAAGGCTCATTCACAAAAGTACCCGTTCTATCACGGTCGGCTCAATTCAACTGGAGGCCCAAGGAGACCTGTTTAAAGTTCCGATGAAAATTTTAAGGGCCCATTAATTTCCAGTGAAGCAACTTTGAACCTTGAAAAGTTAAAAACATCGGATTTGAGTTTCTTACCAGTTTAGGTTATGTTTAAAAGTATCTGCTTCAAACACGATATTGTTACTGGGGTTTAGGCCCTAGGCATTGTCTAGTGCTTGAGCAGCCTATGCTTGCTACTTGGAGAGAGAATGAATGAATGATTGTTATGCTAGTTTTATTAGTTTTCTCATTTTTTGCTGGGTCCCTCTGTTCAGGTGGGGCCCTAGGCATTCTTGCTATTTGGAAAGAGAATGAATGAATGATTGTTATTCTAGTTTTATTAGTTTTCTCAATTAAGATTTATTCATTTATTTAAATTTTTATATGAATATCTGTCTGAGAAAATGAACTCAAATAATACAGTACATATACTTAAAAATGTGTAATACTGCTAATTCTACTCCATTATAATCTTTATTTCCACAAATGTACTCTTTTGCTAAATTGAAGTGTCCATAGCACGTTTGACTTGTTTCCTCAGTGTTTATGTTATAATTTTCTTCTGAAAAAACTGTAGACGTTTTTGAGATGTGTATGACATGTATCTAGGAGTGTAGAAATGTCGTCTCCGGCGGGATGCTAGACAGACATGGCCTAGCCTCTTACAAATAACTGTCTGTCCGTCATGTTATGCTACATTAAGTAATTAAGCCTCTGTGTCGGATGCCTATCTGGGCATATTATACTTAAAAGAGTCTTCAAACTGTGACCACAAGAGAAAATGGTTCTTTCCAAATTTTGAATGTCAGCTGGTCCGATTTCTGTACTCCTTACTGGGTAAATTTTTTCATCTGATTTGTTGGTTAATTAGATGATTAAGAATGTAATTTATTGTTGCTTTGCATATTAAGAGATGAATGTGCCAGTGGCTAATGGGGCCGTGGATTTTTCATTCTATGCATGTCTGCGTGTAGAATTTTTAAAGTTTAATTATCTAGATACTATTTTGGTTTCTCCCTAGAAAGGGTGTTTTTCTTTCATTTTAATTGTTGTTCTTCCATGAACTGGTTGAGAAGCGTCTATGTTTATGCTATGGCATTTATCTATTTGTATTGCTTTTGCAGCGCGCACATATACTGCACCAGAAAAGTGGATGAGGGGCAAGGGGCGTGTGACCATCCAATTTGGTTGCTGTTACAACTACGCTACAGTAAGTTTCTCTTACCTTTTTTCTCCAATTAATTGTTGACGGGTAAAGTTTTCTAATCAAAGCTCTAGTAGATATGATACTTGTGTGACGGCTCTAGAACGAAAAAAGTGTGTACAATGGATAGAAGAGCTTATGATTTCAAATTTTCAATACTGTGGCAGGATAAAAATGGTAATCGACCAGGCATCATACGGAATGAAATTGTGGATCCTTTACCACATCTTTTTAAAGTGATGATCAGGAGGCTCATAAGATGGCATGTTCTTCCTCCATCCTGTGTACCTGACAGCTGTATTGTCAACATTTATGATGTAGGCGACTGCATACCTCCTCACATTGACAACCATCAGTTTGTTCGACCTTTTTGTACTGTTTCATTTCTGAGTCAGTGTAATATTGTCTTTGGAACAAACGTGGAAGTTGTGGGTCCTGGCGAGTTTGCTGGTTCTAGCGAAATCCCCCTGCCCTTGGGGTAAGCCTGATGTGCATATCAGCTTTCATGCATTTCCTGTTTCCTTTATTCCATCTACTGCATGCTATGCTTTTATTGATTATTTATTAAATTTAATTTTTGTTTCCTAGAAATCAAATTCTTCAAGTTGAAATTCATTGTTTTTCGTTCTCATCCAGATCTGTCCTTGTTTTAAATGGAAATGGGGCTGATGTGGCTAAGCATTGTGTGTCTGCAGTACCCACTAAAAGGTACATGACACTCTCTAGTTTGGTTATTTTTACTGCAGTTTTTGTTATTATATTCTTTCTTGTTTATTTGAATAAATGATTTTGATTAAAATGTTTCCTGTCTAACTCATAGGATATCAATTACTTTCCGGAAAATGGATGAATCAAAATGGCCTATTGGATTTGTTCCGGAGCCTGATTTGCAGGGACTTCAACCCTTGTCCTATGAAGACAGCAGACCAAAAAGTTCGAACAGATTGAACCCTTCAAAATCAAAACTTCTTGTGGACAGACAGGAAGGAAGAAGAGTGCCTGAAGGAAGAAGAGAGAATAGGAGAGACCAAGCGAGGGGTTCATCCAGAGAGATGGGCAATATGCAGTCAGAGCTTCATTACTCGACTCGGTATCAACGAGGGCCCGGTAATAGGCGGAGGTTCTGGGTGAACTTGGACAGGTGATGGGTGCATTGGTGCTGGTATTCAAGCACATGCCAGCTGGTCTGTGTCATATTATAGTGTTTTATTGTTCTTATGGTGTGGCCTTATACTTGAGGGTTTGTCATCAGTTTTCATTGTCAATTTTTCCATCGTATATATATTCTTGCTAGTGTATGATTCATGTTATAGAGTATTGATTGCTGCTGGGTGATTCTAATGCCAGAAATTTTTGGCTAGTTTTCGAATTGAATGTAAAATTACACGGGTGACTTGAAGCCCAGAAAAGGGTGTCTTATCTCCATTTCTTTGAATGAAAAATATTTTTCCGAAAATATTTTGTAATTTTCTGTGGTTGGTTCTTTTTTCTTTTAAATTTATTAAAATTAATGTTGTGAGTAAAATATTTCATAGGGTAAAGTGCAAAAAACCTTCCTGGCTTTTTGCAACTAACTCTCCTAAATTAAAGATTGTCTCCCTAAATTATTAATTTGTTGCAATTAAGGTTAAATCAATCACAAAAGACTATATTACCCTTTCTTTTGAAGTTTGTCATTTCTTATTAAATTGTTTTTTATTATATTTTTTCTTAGTTAAATATTAATAACATCATTTACCTTAAGTTTATAATTAGTATCAATTGATTATAAAAATAGAAAAAAATAAATAGATTCGTATTATAGTAAAACTTATTATACTCGCTTTAAAAAAATTTGATATAATTTTTTTTTTCTTTTTCAAACAGCATTCATGAAAAATTAATATATTATGTAAATGAAAAATATCTTCTTTTTAATGCAATATATTCATGAAAATTAAGAAATTACTTAAATTGTTTCAAAATTTTCTATTTAAGATTTTTATTTAAATAATTAATCTAAAAAATTAAAAGCAAACTTATCCAAATTTAATGGAGAATATTTCGTCAAATTAATATGAATTTTTTTCATAATTTATTTCAACAAGAAAAATATATTCAATAAGAAAGGGTATTATGGTCATTTAATCAAAAATAGGTAAGACAATGAGACATTTTGCAATTAAATGTGATAATTTAAGGAGTTTTGTGCACAAAACATAATTTAGGGGAGTTATTCGCAAATTTAGACATACTTGAAGGGTTTTTTTGAATTTTACCCAATTTCATATCTTAAGGTTGAAGGGTTGGCAGGCATTGCAAAAATTGCAGCATGGGATGCAATATGGTTTTGTTACTGGTGATTTATCAGACAAGTGAGTGAATTTCAGTTAGAGATTGCCAAAGAGAGCTAGTGTTGTGACTCAATTTCTCGCAAAGACGGAATTAGGTCATGTTCCTAGAATAAATAAATAAATCAAGGCATAATTCAAATAGTATTCTAAATTTTTTGTTCACCAGAGATAAGATAAAATCAAATAATCTAAAAAATGTGACTTCTATTATCAGTTTTGGATGACTGGGATCTCTCTCCATAGGATATTTTTATAGTCCACTTCCACTTCCACTTATTTTCTGTAGACTTATTTAAAAATTTCTCCACACACAAATCTTTAGAAAGATCTATAAAGCTCACTCCACTTCCACTTCCACTTCCACTTCCATTTCCATTTCCATTTCCTTTCTTATTTATTTATAGTCCACTACCACATCATTTCTTATTTATTTTTCTTGTTTTTGTTTTTATAGTATAACAAGTTTTTTTTTTTTTTTTTTTTTTCCTAAAAATTTCTTGAATAGTGCATCAATTTTGTCCATGAAAACAAAACCACTTCCATTTAGGGATGTCAATTTGCTCCTCGATGGTGGTTCCTGTCCCGTTTAAACTGATTTTGTGAAACTGTTTAAGGGATTTGGGCTGAGATTCCCTGCTCCTTTTAAGTTTAATTACTAAACTACCTTATGTAGTGTAGTGTAGGTATAAAATAGTAAAAACCATTATAAAATATTTGTAGATTGAATTTTATGTTAAACACTATTGGTGGATTATAGTTGTGTTTGGGAAAAAATAAAATAAAAGGGAAAACATTTGGAGTAAACTACCAGGGCGGGGTGCAAAAACATTTGGTGGAAATAAGGTGGTAGGGCACCTGTTTAGACGGTTTTGAGTGAGCAGAGGAGGGTAGTACATCCTCCCAAAACCACCCTATTGCCCGCTTACTTCCATTATACTATTATACTAATTTTCGAATAAAAAAAAAATTATACTATTATACTTCAGAGTCTATATAGGATATATAATTCTATAGGATTCCTCTATTCTAGGTAAGTTTGCCACATTAAATAAGTAATGCGATTTGGTTTTCCCTCAAATTCATAAAGCTTCTCACACACACATTACAAATCTGTAATGTGTTTGGGTTTTATTTCAAAGGCATAAGAGAATTTCATTTCTTTTTCCAATAAATGTAAATTATATTTAAGAAAATAAAAACAAAAAACAAGTGAATTCAAAATTTCTCGCAATACTTTTACAATGCAATTTTATCATTATAGTGATTAAATTCAAAGTATAAAATCATAATATTTTAATAAGTGAGTAACTTAATGCTTTTGTGTATCGTTTGGATCACATTCAAATTTACGTACTAGGCAAAACCAGCCAAGCCAAACACATGCCAACTAACCAAAAAAATGCCAACTGGGATTTGCTTTATTTTGCTTGTTAGTCTCTTTCCAGGAGTAAATGAGACGGAAAGATAAAAGGAAAATGAGAGCAGTGACATGCTAACTAGTAGATGAGTGTGTGTGTGTGTGTTTTGTGGGGGATGACATGTGGTGTATCTTTAGAGATATGGGAGAGTTTAACATAGCATCAATAAGATGATTACCCTAAAGAAAAGGGAGTGTGTGTCTTGGGGGCTGCACTCCTTCTGAGGTAAGCAGCTCAGGATTTCTGAATAAAGAGGACAGATTTGACCTTCACTTCCCAATCAAAGTCCACAAATTCATCAAGAGAAAGATTATATATATCTATGTATGTATATTTATATGTATATGTGTATGACAATAGACCAATTAAACTAAGAAACCAAATACCCATATGAGTGAGAGAGAGAGAGAGAACCAATTTAAATGCATGATAATGAAAGAAAAATCTCACGATGATAGTGTCAAAATCAAATAAATAGCGCAATCTCAAAAGTTGAACTAGAGAGAGAGAGAGCCTGCAAAAGTCACAACAGCAGAAAATGGGAATGAGACTGTAACTGAACTCAAAGAGAGTTTGAATATTTCTACTTACCCAAAATTTAATATATATATATATATAAATATTTATATATATATGCATATAATTTATATATATTAAAAAGAGAGTATTTTTAAATTTAAATTTACTTATTCTTGTATTTTGGAGATCAAATTAAGCTAAAGTATTAATTCTCTCCACCTTTTTTGTTGCATTTTGTGGCTTCTTCCATGTACTTATAAGTGATCAAACCAACCAAAATAGAGAGGGATTTAAATGCGGTCTTCCAGCCCAACCTGGAAGTTAAAAGGATACTGAAACTAGGAATTTTTTTTTTTATTTACTGTATTTATTTTATTATTATAATAAGGAGAGGACTGTATTTATTTTATTATTTTAATAAGGAGACTCTCTCTCTTTGTTAGGAAAGAAAAAAAATTGAATGGAAGGAAGATAAGAAGGAATGGATGAGACATCGATAGGGAAGAGATTGCATATTTCTTTTAAGTAAGATCGAAGATAAGAGAATAAACTCATAATTTACTGGATTTGTAAGTATCGTATTCCCCAAAACGCTAGGGGTCTTGGACTCCTAAACTTGCAAATCTGGAATGAAAGTACAGTCATGAAGCATTTTTAGCACATTTTAAGCTCAAAGGATATGTTGTGGGTCAAATGGATCCAAACATACCTTCTTAAAGACAGAAGTATATGGGAGATCAAAGTGGCTGAACAGTGCTCTTGGACTAGGAGGAGATTGCTTGGTCTCATGGACTCAGTCAGGCCTCTTGTCAACTTAGAAATTGGAGATGGAGCTTCATCCAATTTCTGGTTTGACATATGGTGTCAACATAGCCCTCTGCACCAACACATTCTACCCCAACAGATGACTTCAGCTGGATTTGACAGTATCACCAAAGTGAACACTTTCATCATCAACAACTCATGGTCCTTTCCACAATCCATCCTAAACCTATTGCCACAACTACATGATACCTCCTCACTGCCTAATCCTAAACCTCACTGCATTGACAAACACATCTGGATTCCATCCAAGTCTAGCCAATTCTCATGACCACTTGTTTTTTAGCTGTTCATTTGTTCAGCCTCTATGGAACTTTCTACAAGCACGTTGTGAGTTCTACATTCAGCCCATCTCTTAGACTCAGCTCATTGCTTGGGCATCTTATCATTGGAAGGGAAATTCAGATAACCATAGCAACACAGTCTCAAAATTGGCTTTAGCTTCCTTAGTTTATAACATCTGGATTGAGAGGAATACGAGAATATTCAAGAAGAAATCACGCAGCGCTAACTCTTTGCTCCACCTTACTTTAGAAGCACCAAAATTCTCTCATCAACAATTTCTGAAACCTTCAATGCTAGAAGAGTTGCTACTGAATGGGAGCTTCCAGAGTCAGTTATTCGACCACCAAAGAAACCTCCATACCCTAGAAGATGAGCTGCACATTGTTGGAATCACAATCCATAAGCCTACTGCAGTATCGAAGCTTGATCACACACCTGTTGTTGATTATGTTGGGCTATTATGCTCTTTATTGTACAATGTGTTTGCCTTGGGCCTCTTTGTCTTAGGCTGGTTGTTCTTTTGTAGCAATGGGTTTGCCTTGGGCCCAAAAAAAAAGTTGCTACTCCTTGCAGTAACAAGATTGATGTATTAGTATAGGTTTTCCAAGGCATGATAGTATCTGATGTATTACTGTATACAGTAACTGGTTGTAGGCTTGGAATCCTGTCCATTCTTCATAGGCATGATAGTATCTGATGTATTACTGTATACAGTAACTGGTTGTAGGCTTGGAATCCTGTCCATTCTTCATAGGATGTATTACTGTATACAGTAACTGGTTGTAGGCTTGGAATCCTGTCCATTCTTCACGGACCTTGTACATACCTTTTTCGATCTTCTTTTAATACAAGTTACCCATTCAACTAAAAAAATATATATATATGTGGTTAAATGAAAGAGAATCAAGAGATAATTCTAAAACATTGAAAGAATAGAATCGAATAGTTTTATTCGATTAAAAAACTAGAATAGAATAGTAGTAATGTTGAAAGTTTGTAAATATCTCGAATATAAACAAATATTTTACACTAATGTTCTAGAAAATATATCTCAGTCCTTCATTGTAATAATCATAACC